CAGGGCGATCGGCGGCGCGGACCCGGCCTGGCGCGGAGCCTGCGGGAGGGGACGGACGCGGTGAGGCCGGGGCCGCCAGCTGCCTCAGCCGCGCAGACCCGGATCCGCCCTCTCTGTCCCTGCCGAGGTGGACACGTGGGGCCCAGGGTCAGAGCTGCTCCGCCACCCTCCCGCCTGGCGCGGCAGCGCGCGCCTGTCCTCCCAGCACAGTGGGAGGCTGAGGCAGGAGGGTCGCAAGTTCTAGCCCAGTCGAGGAGACTGGGCGAGACCTTGTTTCAAAATAAGAAATGCAGAAGGGTTGGGGACGGAGCTCGGTGCGAGGTCCCGGGTTCCACCCCGTGCCGGGGGCAGGGGCCTCCCTCTCTGGCTCCCTCCCTCTCCTGGTCGCTCCTCCGGCAGGGCAGGTTGGGGCTCCCGGCCCCGCACCTCTCTGGCCCGCTCCGCCTCCGCGTCCCTCTGTGTACCGAGGCGACACTGGCCCTGTGTCCCTGTCCTCTGCTGTCTGGGCCCCTGCCCGCGGGGAGCCAGTCCTCCTAGACGTGCAGATAAGGGACGGTCCTGTCCCCGCCCCGCACGCGACCCCGCCCCACCCGGCGCCCCGCGCCTCCCGCGCCCAAGCAGCCACCCGTAGGCCGGCGAGTCCCCTGCAGTGTCGCGATCACGGTTACCTCTGTGCTATGGGCGTCCTGAACTGGAGCCGGCAGCCCCGCATGGTCTCGGAGACCCACAAGAATTGCTTTGGTCGCACTTCTAACCCTCGGGAGAAAGAGGAAGCCGAGTCAGGAGTGTGCAGGGCGGACGGGGCGCTTCCTGCGCCGGCAGAACATCCGCAGATCACAGGCGGTTTGTTTGTTCGGATGAGAGTCCCGACGCGCTGGCTCGGGTGTGAGCCCAGCGAGTTAGCGCGATGCCAAGGTGGTGTTTGGGGACAAAGGTTACGTCTGCCAGGCACAAAATGAAGCCGGGCCTCCAAGTCCGCTGCCCAGGAAGCCCCGGGCCGTGCAGCCCCCCAACCGCACAGCTAGAAAGGGACACCGAGGCCAGAGTAGGTCGGCGGAACAAAAGGACCTCAACTTGGGGCTGACATGGGAAGATGGCAACGGGGCCGGGGGGGAGGGGAGGACGGGGGACAGAATCCGAAGGACAAGAGGCCCAGGACAGGGGAGGGGCGGTGGGGGGAGGGCTCTGCAGAGCCTAAATGTGCGGTAGTGACCTGCCCAGTGTAAAGGGACCTGGGACAGGCTCTGGGTGGTCACCAGACCCCTTCTGAAGGAGCTGAGCTGAGCCCCACGATGCGCCCCTCTCTGGTACTAAGTCTGAGCCTGTGCTGACAGCAGTCTCCGGAATCACAGGGATGCACAGAAGCCCCGGAGGCCGGAAGTCCCCAGTGCCAAAGCTGAGCGCTTAAACCATGCCTAGGTGCAGGGTCCAAGCCTTTTATTGGGTTTTTTAATGTAGCTTATTGTCTGTTTTTCCTTTGGCCTTGTGGCTCAAGGTGTCCTTTTGAATTAATGAATGTTTAAAAGGCTCCTCTACCAGTGTGGTGGCATATGCCTGTAATCCCAGCACTAGCAAGGCTGAGGCAGGAGGATTGCCTTAAAGTCAAGGCCAGACTGGGCTACATAGTGAGTTCAAGGCCAGCCTGCGGTACAAAGCCAGGTCTTGTCTCAAAAAAAAAAAAAAAAACCTAAATTAAAATAAAAGTGAATAGAAGGCTCCTCTATGCCCCACAAGCTGTTCATTCCCTGCTTCTCCACAACAAACTTTGCTAGTTACAATGTAATACGTTGACGTGTTGGGTTTTTCCAACAGAGATAATGGGTTTTCAATAACACAAGTTTTATATTGTGGATTTTTTAAAAATATAATGTTTCAATCATTCATGTCACTCATATTTTGCTAATCCATCAACCCTACAGGACAGATAGTAAAATGGGTAACGATCAGCCTGCTTGACACCCTTACCAGTACAGTTAACATAACACAAGCGTGTGCTTAGTATTCAGAAAATGCGAAGTTACCAGCTACCAGGGAAGTGAGGATGATTTCTAGATCTTCTGCCCTAATAAGCTAAAAGCACCCGAGCAGGGCTGGGGTCATTTGGGGGCCTCTCACAGGGCCTCCTGTCAGCAACAGCACAGTGGACGAAGGATACTGCGGAAAACAGAAGCTACAAGGCAGACTTTCTGGGGAATTTGTCCTAAAGTTCAAGTGGTTCCCGGGAGTAATGAAGGAGTGGCCGCCACGGGCAGAGGCAGGGTTTTGCAAGCTCCCTTTCATTTCCATCTGGGGAAGCTCGCCCAGCTCAGTGCCCTCATCTGTAAACCAACACAGCAGGGTCCAGCGTGGTAAGACCCCAGCCCAGCCTTTGTATTCCTAAGTGTCTAACTCAGAAGTCATCTATCAGGAAAAAGTACAAGGCATAGAGGAGAAAGTCAAGTCCATTTCTCCAGTGGAAAGGACAACTGACCTCAAATCTTATTTTTCCTTAATATTTCCAAAATTTATGAGCCCAGCTCTTTTGTAACTGTCACAAGTGAGGAACCAACTTCTTTCTTGTAAACTTGTTTGGGCACACGTGTTCCTGGACAGGACTGGCAAGGCCTCTGAAGACGCAGCCTCTCTCCTTCCCTTTCCCTTCCCATCCTTGGAGCTCCTTGGTGGAGCACAGATCAGGGCCCATTGGTGCAAAGTGGGTAATAGAGATCCAGCGAGGGCAGAGACCCCAGCGGGGGTGGGATGGGGGGGGACAGAGCAGCCCGCTGGAGTCTGACACGCTCACGGATTGGGGAATGACCCATTCCTGGTAGAGGAGCCTTTTAAACATTCGTTAATTCAAAAGGCCATGAGAGGATGTCCTCACAGGTAGGCGGGTGTGTGCCTGGCGGGGTCTGCTAGCATTCAGGTGGGATGAGGAGCATGTCCTTCTCAGCAGAGCCTACCTGTAAGAGAGGTGGCTTGGGGTGGCTGCCAGAGCCCAAGTGGAGTAGAGGAAGTCCATGGAGATAGAAAGTGACCAGCACAGGAAGTTGAGGCCAAGCAGGTGATGCTGATGGACATAGAATGACAGTGATGTTCCTGAGATAGTGGGTGAGGAGCAGTAACCTGTGGAAAGGGGATACCCGGATGCAGGAAGAATAAGGAAGGAACAGGAGGCGGGGAAGCAGAACTAGATTATGGTATGGGTCAGCTTTCCCATCTTTTGGGCAAAATCGCACAGTTTAAGGAGGGTTTAGTCCACAGTTATAGGCTCCAAGGCAGGGACATCATGGTGGAAGGGCCTGGTGGAGCAAAGCTGCTCAGCTTGTGGTGGCCACAAGCAGAGAGGGAGGAAAGAAGTGGGGACAAGCATGCAAGGTTCCAGGTCAGCCTCTAGCAACCTGCCTGTTCCCACCAGACCCCACTTATAACTCATCAAGGATGAATAGTCTCATGAGTGCAGTGTGTCCGTGATCCCGTTACCCCCCGCCAAAAGTCCCACCTCTGAACAGGAGAGTTGAGGGGCATTCTAGATTGAAGCATAACACCTGTACACAAAGTGCTCTGATTTATATCTAGATGTCCCCCAAAGCCTCCTGCACACATAAGTGAGGCTTTTGGGAGTGACTGAATCATGGGTTGTGATACTGGATTAATTCACTGATGGATTTACAGCTGGGAGTGATGTTGGCCATTACTGGTAGGAGGAGGTGGTCAGTGGGGGTGTGGCCTGGAAAGGTCTATCTCCCTCCTCCTCCTTGATTTCTCTCTGCTTCCTGCCACCATGCCAGGATCTGTTCCTCCTCTGTCAAGCCCCTGTGACATGCTGCCCTGTCTGGGAGCCAGCCAGCTGTGGACTGAAACTGAGCCAAAACAAACCTCCACTCCTTCAATTTGTGGGTGCCAGGTATTTTGTCCAGCAATGAGAGAGTAACTAAGACACAAAGGAAATGGTTGGATAAATACATATATTGTGGGTTATAGCAACAAATTTTCCCACAGTCAGAAAATGAAATTGGAAATGTGAAGAGAGAGAAAACAAGACTGAACCTTGCTGTCTTTAGCTGAAATTAGCAACATCAGTGTCAATTAATGGTCCCCATACAGAAACACAGAGGTCTACACAGTTGTACATAACTCCCAGCCTCATCACTGCAGGCCTAGGAAGAACACCCTAGCAGCAAGGAATGAGTAGCTAAGGCACTGAGCTTGGCTTTCAAGTGCAATTCTCCAAGAAACAAAACCAGAGCCCCTAAGGAAAAGGGCTGACTCCAGGAACAGATAGGCAAAGAACAAGATGAACCAGGAATAGCTCCTTGTGCTTGAAAGTGAGGAAATGGGCCTGGCCAAAGATGTAGGAAATACAGATGAATGTATTCCAAGAGAACCGGGTCAGATAGCAACTCAAGCATAGAAGTCTTTCTACTATGCTTGCAAATTTTGTGTAACATTGTAACTTCTTATAACTTTTGTGTAACATTGTAACTGTTTGTAACTTTTGTGTAACCTTATAACTGCTTGTAAATTTTGTGTAATATTGTAACTGCTTTCAACTTTTATGTAACATAACTGCTTCAAATTTTTAAAAAATAAATATTGAGTACTGATAAAAAGTTTCAGCAACAAATTGCATTGAAAGTAAAATTTTAATTGTGCTTAACAACTTTTATAAATTCCAGTGAAGGGCTGGGGATTTAGCTCAGCGGCAAAAGCGCCTGCCTGGCAAGCGCAAGGTCGTGAGTTCGGTTCCTGGTACCGGAGAAAAACCAAAAAAAAAATTCCAGTGAAATCTCCTCCTTAGTACACCTTTTCAGCATCTTTTCAGCATTCACTGCACTGTGCCTGCTGCCTGGAAATCCCAGACTAAAATGAGATCCTTGTTTTACCCCTAAAAAGCTGGGAGTACAGGTCAGAAAAATGTGAGGCTATTGCAATGATGGAGATTTTAAAGGTTGAGGTAGAGCAGAACATGCAGGAAGCCCTGGATTCATAACACGCATGCACACACATGCACAAGCGCACACACATGCACAAGCTCGCACACATACACAACAGTGGTGAAAAAGGAGCTCTGTGACTGCAGATGATAGTGAGCAAATAATTCACAGGGCAGACACTGAATCTGAAGAGCGTGTAACAGTTAGACAACAAGATAAGGAAACACATTCCAGGAAGGCGAATGCTAACTACAAAGCCTGGATACCTCAGAGACCGGAGGGGACAGTGACAGAGCACTTGGACCTGGAGTGCTGCAGGACCAAGTGTGATAAGGAACAGTCAGGAGAGCCTCCAAGTCCCACTGGGCCCAAGATGTCTAGTGACACAAAACATACACCTATGAGTGTACTGGGAATCGAACTCAGGACCTCGCACTCTCCAGGCAGGCACTGTGTCCCTGAGCTTTATCCCCGGTCCATAAGCTGTTTTTTTGTTCTATTGCCAGCATTGAATAATGGTCCTCATAATTACAAATATACCACACCATAGATTCTCAAATAAGGGCAAGCCAGTGACTATCCAGATCGCCTCTGTCTACTTGGCCACCAATGCCGAGACCGCGTGCATAGAAGCACATCTCTGCAGGACTCTAGATTTCTCCCTCCGTCTGTAAAGTGAGGATCAAGGTAACCTCTGCTCAGTTTCAGTTTCATCACCAAGGAACTGTGAAAACCGGATGTGA